GTTTGAATTGTTTTTAAAGGGGCTAAGGGAGGTTCAAGGGGGAGCCTTTATTGTGATTTTGTTTTCTTTTTTATCTTTGATTCGGTGAGGAATTCTGATGTGACCCTAACCAAAAACAATTTGTATTGCAATTCTATACAACATATTGTTTTTCTGGAATTTGTTTACTTTTTTTTTTTTTTTTTTTTTTTTTTTTTTTTTTTCCCCGTTGGGGCTGCCCGGAATGCTGCTGGGGGATTCTGCCCGGTCGGGCATAAGTTGGGTGCCCGGGCGCCCGGAAAAACAACCTATAAATTTTATTATGCTTATACGTTTGTATATTTTAGACGAATATTTTTTTTTAAAATATATACGATAATCGTTGAGGATTTTTTTTATTTATTTGACACCGCCTAGGCTACTTGAGTGGTCCTAGACCATTTGCTAGGCTGGAAAAAAAAAAAAAAACGTTTTTAAATTTTATTATTATTTTATTTCAAAATCGCTAAATAATTTAAATGTGAAAAAGATGTGCATGCACACTTGTATATGAATTGAAAACCATAGTAAAATGATAACAAAATCTTCTTGATTTTATAACTATAATGAAAGGGAAAAAAAAACCTTCAACAATTCAAAAATGTCAATATACTTTTGAAAATGTATATATATGAAACTCATTCAAAAATCTCTATTGAAAAATAAAACCGTTAGAGTTTTAAATTCTCAATAAAATTTTTGAAAGATTTATATATCTCTCCAATTTATTATTTAAATTTTACTAAAGCACAATAAATCTTTAATGATCTTTAAAACCTTGTCCCCAACGATTCTGAACTCAAACTGTTTGCAAGTAATCTATTGATATGCAGATTATGCCACATATCATTCATTTGCCTCACTTGAATTATTAGTTAGTAAAAAATCATTGGAATATATATTATCTTAAACCACCTCTACCTTTCTCAATGTCAGTGAAAACAAAAATATACATCATACCTTATTTTTCGGAGGTCTAGGGAGGTTCAGGTAAAAAAGAAGAAAAAAGGAAACATTGGGACCCTACGGGCCCACGATGAGGGAAAAAACAAACGAAAAAAACTAAGGAAAAACAACGCATTGTGAATCTATCCACGTCGGGGAAGACTCTCACGTAGGTTGAAGTAACACACAAATGCTTTGAGGAATGTATTTGGTAAGCATGTGTGGCAGGTGAGTGTGTTGTTTCCATTTTGCTTTTCTTTTTTGTTTTTTGGTTTTGGTGCCCTACCAGACAGGCAGGGCGATTTCCACGCGAGGCAAGAAACTGCCTCATTCACCTCAAACTCACGCAACCACTGTAGCGTTTTACATCAGACCATGATCATAACATGAGGAAGGTTTTTTTTTTTTTTTTTTTTTTTTTTTCGTTCCATGACCATCATTCAGAAGCCCTCTTTGATGGCACAATCTCACTAGCACACCGTAGAATGTAGTTGACCATCATCTGCAAAACGTTATTGCTCTTATTATTATTATTTTTTTTCCATTATCTTTTGGTGCCCTGTTAGGGAGGCAGGGCGGATTTCACGCACCTCACTCACCTCATACTCAAATTGGTGTTGCAGCTGTCATTTTTTTGGACTGCGATCATAACAGAAATGATTTTTTTTTTTTTTGTCATCGGACCTTAATGACGACACAGTCTCACCAACACACCGTTGAATGCATCTGATGACTATGACGACGAAAAATTTTGTCTCTTGTTTTATTTTCCTCTTTTTCGGATATAACTGTCGTGAGTACCTGAAAAGAAAATACAATGGGAACTTGGCTTGACAAAACTCGGTGTGCAGTGAAATTCAAGGTTGGTAAAAACAGGATCGAAGGTAGTGGTGGTTTAAAAATGTATAATATTTTATCACATTCTTTCATGAACTTGATAAGTCGGTCGTGTTTGAAACGTTGATTACCATTGAACATATCAAAGAAAGAAAAATCAGAATGTGTGAATTCGTTCTATTTGGCATTTTACTATTTAGTGTGCTAAGTTTAAAACAAATTTTACTTTATAATGAAAAAATTTTAGAAGCTTTTAGTTTTGTGGGTTTTGTTTTATTTGGTCAAAAAACTTTTGGCGAAACTTTCAAGGCTACTTTTGAAGCAAAAAGCGAATTTGTTGTTTTTGAATTACAACAACTCATGAGTTCTCAAGAGGCTTAACATATTAAAGGATGAAGGGAAAAAATATCAGCATAAAAATATTTACTAAGTAAAAAAAAATATAAAAAATAAAAAGGTAAAAACGCAAAAAAATAAAAACGAACAAAAAAACAGAGACAATATTGTGTGAAGGAAGTGCATGTATTAACTATGATGCATGAGATTGAATATCACTTGATGCATTTATTCAATATTATTGAGCTAACAAGGAAGAATTGAAAATTGCAAAGAAGGTACACATTAGTTAAGGAGAGACAAAGACATAAATAAAAAAGTGAGACATAAAAACATTGCGGATAATAAAAAAAAAATTGAGTAAGTAAATGCGATTAACAAATGCACTTCTACGAGGCACCACACTAATTATATATATATATATATATACATATATATCGTCAAATAGATATATATACATATATATATATATATATATATACAGCGTTACAGGGCCGAACGTTCGCGGGGGGGACGGGCTGACCCCCGAACGTTCGGGCATTCGGGGTCTCGTTCGGGGTCTCGTTCCTCCGGGTTCGGCCCCCGCCAAAAATTATTTTACGGCCTAAAAATAGTTGTTTTTTTCTGATTTGTTTTTCGTGAGTTCTATATGATGTGAGGTACTTGCCTATAAATTTTTAAGTTATTTGGCTAAGCCAGAAAGAAACTAAAAATCGCCAAAGATGGCGGTGTCAAAGCGTGCTCGCCCACTCACTATTTTGTTTTTTTTTACTTTTTACTTTTTGTTTTCACTTTATTTCGGAGCCTAATTTTATTTTTTGCAATTTTTTTATCGAGTTTTGTCTTATGTGACGCACACAAATGTAAATTGTCAGTGCATTTGGATTTCCTCAAAAAAAGTAACAAATCGCCAAAGATGGCGGTGTCAAAACGTGCTCGTGCATTCACTAATTTTAATTCTCTTTTTACTTTTTCTTCTTATTATTATTAGTATTTATTTTTCGTTTTTTTTTTTTTTTTTCCAATTTGGTAAGGAATTTGGATATAGTGCTCAGGCAAATGTTGTTTCTTTTATTTTTTTGCATAACATAGTTGTTTTTCAGAATTTTGGGATTTTTTTTTTTTCTTTTTTTTTGTCCGCGTTCGGCCCGAACGGCCGAACGCCTCCCGAAAGGGTCCCGTACGTTCGGGCGTTCGGCCCGTCCCGAACATCGGCAACACTGTATATATATATTTATTTATTTATTTCTCTCTCTCTCCCTCTCTCTCTCTCTTGCTCTCTTTCCGTGTTTGTATGTGCACCCTCTCTCTGCCTTTCACACACTCTAATTGCACGTCGTCTCTGTGGTCTACATTTGGATTGGATTTTGAGGACTTGTGCCATCTTGTGAGTGAGTTCCGATGGAGTGTCATGACAGTTACCCAGATCAACCATCGTGGTTACAACCATTGCTTCAATGCAATGCGCCCTCCCCGTTGAATCCCTCTTCAAAAAACTGTATAACAGTTGGAGTCTTCTTTCTCATCAGATGAGTGCATAATGCATAACGAGCGGTATCTGGTTCACTTGATAAATACACTTTGCACCCGGGCAAACGGTTGTACATGCGTGCTTACATTCATTAAGCACGCCCATCAAAATGAGTGGAACAGATCATATATCTAATGCATGTGCGATGCGAAACATCCATATGAGCCGTGTTTGGCGCAGGTTCATCAAGATACTATGCCTAATCAAAATTTCAACTCCCAGTTTGAGATACACTTAATGTGAGAGAGGAAAGGAAAAATACCTATGACGGGGGGGGAGAGATCCTTAGTGAGCAAAAAAGCAACATGTGGCACATGTGCGAGCAAACGATCGATCGCGCGCGCGCGCGCGCGCGCGCGCGAGAGAGAGAGAGAGAGAGAGAGAGAGAGAGAGAGAGAGAGAGAGAGAGAGAGAGAGAGAGAGAGANGAGAGAGAGAGAGAGAGAGAGAGAGAGAGAGAGAGAGAGAGAGAGAGAGAGAGAGAGAGAGAGAGAGAGAGAGAGAGAGAGAGAGGCTTAGACCACCAGTCCACAAGAGTATAAGTTGATGACAATAGCTTTCAAGACTTGCAAGTCTACAGTTGTGCCTTTTCAAAGTGGTTGGCCACGTTCATTTCCAGTCCCAAGCCTGAATTGAAAAGCTCTCACCTGTATTTGACCCATACATCCGCCACAATGGCTGGCGGAGCACCGAAAGAAAGTGGCCCAGAAGTACTGGTGGCGTAAGGGCACAGCGAAAAGATCCGAGGGGTGGTAGCACCAAATTGCAAATTTTCGTCGGAGTTCTGAATGGCCAAATGGTAAGGGCATACTGAAAAGATGTCCATTCCTGAAGTGACATTGGGGTATTTCACAATTTTTAAACGTCGGCAGTAGGCCAGTATTCTTTGGCTGTTTGAAGGGCATGACGCAAATAAAAGCATCTTGGAGGGCCATAATGAACAATTTTCCAAATCAAAAACAGGTGGCCACAGGATGGCCAACTCAGAGTATACTGACACTAGTCCCTCAAAATCACAGAATCGCAAAATGACCGGCCCGATCGAGTCCTTCGTTTACAAGAACTCAATCTGGCCATTCATTTTTTGTTTTTGCGACTTTTGAGGGCCTAGTGTCAGTATGCCCTCACAATGACAAATTTCTACACGTATCTGACCAGCAAAGGAGGCCAGATGGAGGACGTCCTTACCAGTAAGGGGTGAATATCCCTCCGACAGATCTGAGGGAAAAAGACTTCCACGGAACTCGCCTGTGTGGTCCTCGGTAGCCTGGCTGCCTCTCAGAACTGTCGTCGTGGATGTTGCGGCATCTTACGCTGTGCGTTTACGTGTCGCCGGTCGGCTAAAGTGGACCGACACGTGGCACGTCACGTGGCAGAAGTTCTCGTCATCATAATAGTTGGCCTTGATTGGTGGAACATTGCGGAGGGGGAGGTGGAGAAGAGAAGGGGGGAGGCTATCGTATACACCTCAAGTGATTTTCGATCAGGTCAGGTCATGCCAGACCAGGGAATCCATGCGACACGTGCCTCTGTCTCCCATCAAATCTACAAGCTCTTGGAGGCGGATGGCGGGCAGCGCAAGACTGCTTCCATTTTTGGTGATTAATGGCCGCCTACCGTAGTTGTATCTTGCTGTTGGGGAAGGTTTAATAATACTGTATAATCATAATATCTCATACAAGCTTGCGTATGCCTGATATTGGTCAAATTTCAATTTTCTACACGCTCATATATCATGTATGCTGATTGACACGAAATCTGTAAAACCCTTCTTCATCTGTATGCTGATTACCACCCCCAGCGTCCTGAGTGTTCGTGCATTTTCTTCTTCTTCTTCTTCTTCTTCTTCTTCTTCTTCTTCTTCTTCCTCTTCTTCATCTTCTTCCTCTTCTTCTTCTTCTTCTTCTTTCTTCTTCTTCTTGTTCTTGTTCTTGTTCTTCTTCTTCTGTGACAAGCTATTTGGGAGTGCTGCGGTGCGCAATGAAGCCGGCGTTACAGCTGTACCGTCGGATCATACGCGTCTCTCGGCGACTTCCGGAGGATGCTGTGAACTATTATCGTCAGTACGCGAAAGAAAATTTCGTTACCTTCATGGACGAATCTGACCCGGACCGAATCTTGGATCTAATCAAGAGAGGCGTTGATCACACCAAATGGGTGCTTCGAAAGTACGAGATCGACGGCCAAGCGGCGGCAGACCTGGAAGGTTTCCTCGGTGCCAATGTCGCGAACTCCTGACGAGACCCCTATTCAGGGAAGCAGTCGATGAACAGAGTGTGCTTGGCCGTGTGCGAGTCGGTGGGGGAGGGGAGGGGGGGAAGGGGGGGAAGGGGACGCGGCGGTGGGGGCGTTAAGGGCTTTGCTGGGGGTAATTGGAACTGGGTCTCCGAAATCGTGAAATCGATCGATTGATCGAGTACTACTTCACTGTCCTTGGGCGGGGACGGATTTCACTCTCCTCACCCCGCCCTTGACCCGCCCTTCGGCGGGGTTTTGAGAAAAAAATGGCTGGTTAAGTACGTACTTCATACTGAGGTCATCGAATATATATTGAAAAATGTCCGACGGATTTGACAGTCCGGCCCGTCGCCCGGCCTTTTTGGGCGGGGTTTCCTGAAAATGGGGGCGCCCGCCCTTTCGCGCGGATGTTTTTTTGTCTGTGAATGGCGGCGCCTATTCGCGCGGGAGTATCAGAAATTTGAATTGGAAGAGCGGCGTCCTCTTTGCGTGCGGCGCGCCGGAATTCCGTGGAAGTCGTTGGGGAAAAGCGCGCGTGTGTGGTTTGGGAATTTCGATAGGACCAGAATGTGGACCAGTGGCAGTGGCTGGCGCGGGGTTTTGAAATCCTGACGGGTGATACGAATACGATGGACCAGGAATAGAGAGACAATGGTTCGTTTCGGATTTTGAAATTTTGACAGCCGATGTGTCCTTCGAGACCTCTGCTAAAATTGGAACGATACAGAGAGAGAAGATTGCATGACCCCTGCGCAAGGATGACACGCATAAGTTGAGAAATTGCCAGACGATGGAAGATGCGGAAGGGGGGCGAAGTTCCACGTGGACGTATCAGGCGGGCGATTGCATGACCCCTTCTGGTTGTCGATGATGAAGATCCACGGCCAAGATTGGAGAGTCTGGGGAAGGTATATGTCGTCGCCACGGGACCAGGAACAGAATCAGGTGTAGAAAGCCGTCCGGGCAATGGGTTGGTTTCGAAATTGTGTGATGGACAACGTGGACCAGGAACAGATTTGTTGACCGGTCTGAAATCGCTGAGTGTGCTGGTACATCCAACACGCGGAACAGGACCAGATTGGTGCTCGTCTGGATGTTATCGTGATTATGCGAATCGTCAATGGTAGGACAAGAGTGGGTTGGATTTTGCAAGAAGGATTTAGGGTTTCTCTTTTTTTTTTTTTTTTTTTTTTTTTTTTTTTGGAAGGAGGAGAAGAATGGGACACAGACACGCAATGATACCGCCACGCTCATTTCTTCGAGAGCCTGCTGCGCGATTTCCTGCCACGTGGCGTGTTCCCTTCTCTGCATGATCCTATCCACAATGTAATCACGTGGATTAAGTAAGCAAGCCCTCGTTAGTCATGCACTGTGGCGTCGTTCCCGATCGACGAGTAAGTGAGGTGACTGGGAGTTAACGAAAAAGAGAAAACGTAACAAGCGAAAGAAAATTAAAAGAACCCAAGAGCCCACCTTCTTCTCCCGAATACAACGTACGGTCATTGTAGCTGTATTTAGACTGAAAGATACTCCAAATGCAGCTATAATTACCGTACGTTGTATTCGGGGGAAGAAGGTAGCTCAGTGGGTACACCCATGAACTGAGTTCGAATTCAGATGATGATGGAACTACATGATGATGAGTAAAACCAAATATTTCTAAATTGACTGGGGCCGGTCAGCTCAATGATGATTATCTATTTTTTTTTCGTCTTTTTCTCACGGTATTCTTTAGTAAAAGGCGAAAGAATCAAGGCCGTCGCCCTGTTTAAAAAAAAAAAAAAAAAAAAAAAGAAGTATATGAGAAAATACTGTGCGATGTTTTCTTGTTCTGCTGATGGGCCCCAAAAGATAATCGTGAAACTGACCGGCCATTGTAAGAGGGAGCAAGCTGTATCACAAGGAAAGAGGCACCAAAAGAATTAAAGAAATATAAGTACGAAACACTGTGATGTCCTTTTTTTTTCCCTTCTCTTTTTTTTTTTTCCGAAAGGGCGACAGCCGTGAGATATCATCGTGAAACTGACCGGCCCCAGGTAGTTCAGGAGTTTTATTCATCTGGTTCCTTCTGGATTCGAACTCAGGTCTGCATTTCAACTGTTTGTGGGTGTACCAACTGTGCGAAGCCCATTCGCTCGGTGTTTAGTGTCCTGTCTCTTTGTCTCTCTGTCTGTCTCTGTCTGTCTCTGTCTGTCTCTGTCTGACTCTATCTGTTTGTCTCTCTGTCTATCAGTCCGTCTGTCTGTCTCAGTCGGTCTGTTTGTCTTCCTCTGTCCGCCTGTTTCTTTCTGTGTCTGTCTGTCTGTCTGTCTGTCTGTCTGTCTGTCTGTCTGTCTGTCTGTCTGTTGGTCTGTGTCTGTCGGTCTGTGTGTCCGTGTGTATGTCTGTATATGTGGTCTGTAGTTCTTCTGTCTTTCCGTCTGTCTGTCTATATCTGGCTTGTCTGCGTGTCTGCGTGTCTGCCTGCCTGTCCGCCTGTCCGCCTGTCTGCCTGCCTGTCTGTCTGTCTATATCTGGCTTGCCTGCGTGTCTGCCTGTCTGCCTGTCTGTCCGTCGGTAATTTTTCTTCTGTTGTTTCGTGTATGCTTTCGTAGTTGAGAGCTCTGTGGCAATCGAAGTTTTTTTTTTTTTTTTTTTTTAAGGGGGGAATGCAGGGTACAACGGGAGAAAGTTTGGACCATTTCTCGATTTATGCGTGTCATCCTTGAAAGCGCAGGGGCCATGCTAATCTTCTCTGCACTGTTCCAATTTTAACGGATGTCCCGAAGGACATCGACGGATTTTTCTCGATTTATGTATCATGTATGTATGAAAATAAGGTATGGATGAGGAGTGGTGAACTAACGATTTTTCTCATATCAGATGGCAGAGCGGGAAGATGTATATCTACCTTTGTGCCTTTTTAGGGGGCGAAGGAGATTTTGGAAAAACAAGCAAGAAATATAAAGGCCGGGGGAAAGCTGTTAACCTCCAAAGGTATATATGGGCGTTGCTTCACTACGCTCGACATGCACAAAAGACAAGAATCATGGCGGTGTATCTTTCCATGTTGTAGAGGAAGATCCACCCTCGTTTTGCACATCATGGTGGTGTATCTTTCCATGTTGTAGAGGAAGATTCACCCTCGTTTTGCACATTTGGGGAGTAGCGGAGGGAGGCCCTATGTCCAGGTATGTGACCTCTTTCTGAGAGGAAAAAGGGACCCCCAGAAAGGGACACAGCCTTGTGATATCCTCTTTGAACTGACCGGCCCCAGGTAAATTCAGATTTGTTCTCGACCCAGGTCTGCATTTCAACAGTTTGGGGATTTGAACTGACCGGCCCCAGGTAAATTCAGATTTGTTCTTGACCCAGTCTGCATTTCAACAGTTTGGGTCCCGCCACACGGCCCAAGAAACGAGAAGAAACGAACTCCAAACTCGTGAGGCCTTGCAAACGCTCCTGTTCGTTTTTTCTTCGTTTTTCGAGTCATGGGCCACACGAGTTGCCATGATGAATAGGTCCCGTGAACCCCGACAACTGCATGCGGACAAATCACAGTAGGGATGGAGAAGGACATACATGGGAGACTGTGTCGGACATACATGGGAGACTCGCGTGGAATGGCGGGGCATTCGTGACTTGCTGAGAGGACCCACGGAACTGGGGTTGTCGCAGGCGGGCGGCAACTCTCTCCCCGCGAACCACAATTTCTTTGTAGATCTGACATCCTGACTTCTCGCGACTTCAATTTCAATGTCAAAATTTGTGTGGCCGTGTAGCGGTGTGAAAACGAAACGAGTTCGTGAATTTTTTGGTTTCACCTGCTGTGTGGCGAGGCCCTTTGTGGGTGTACCAACTGAGCTAACTTTGGTAGGCCAGTCGGTAGAGATGACAGTGTTGGTAAGAGACTTGGGGCATAATCCGGCCATAGGACCCACGGAACTGGGCTTGTCGCAGGCGGGCGGCAACTCTCTCCCCGCGAACCACAATTTCTTTGTAGAGCTGGCATCCTCACTTCGCGCGACTTCAATTTCAACGTCAAAATTCGGGTGGCCGTGTAGTGGTGTGAAAACGAAACGAGTTCGTGAATTTTTTGGTTTCGCCGGATGTGTGGCTAGGCCCTTTGTGGGTGTACGAACTGAGCTAGGCCAGTCGGTAGAGATGACAGTTTTGGTAAGAGACTTAGGACATAATCCGGCCACACTCCCGTTGTTTTTTTTTTGTTTTTTTGTTTTCGGGGAGAACAATAGAACTTTTTAGGGATAATTTGCAAAATACCCCCATAAGTTGAGATATATGCCAAAATGCCCCTACAAGATGTGGGTAGAGCGGACCGCCCCTCTGACAAAGTTTTTTTTGGTGAAATACCCCTATCGGCCCAAAAGGGCATTCCGCTCTACCCACATCTTTCAGGGTCATTTTGGCATATATCTCAACTTATGGGGGTATTTTGCAACTTATCCCATCTTTTTATTGCAATAAGCCAAAGGGTACGGGGCCGGGAAACCCCACGAATTCCCGAACATATCCTGGGGCCATTACCCAGTTTAGGCTCTTGGAAACCAGGTCCAGTGTCCCTTCACAGAAAAGTTCCCCAAAATAGAAGAAAAGGGAAAACCAATACAGCCCGTTCATTACCAACAACACCCCTCCCCTAATGTAAAAAGAGACTCTGTGGAGGTGAGCTAAAACGCTCCCCATATTCCAGTGGGGACAGCAACCACTGGCAAAAATGGAGTCTTCCTACAGAGTCTTTTAACTAAGGAGGACTCCCTCCCCCATGTATCCCAAAACCATTTCCTCGTTTTCTGAGTCACTGGGAGTTTTGTCCTGATGCAATCGCGTCTGATGATCAATCTTAAACCACCAGTACCTCGCTCAGTTATCAAGTTCAAGCCTCCCGCTACCGGTAAGTCGAGCCTTGCCGAGCCTAGAGCTACGGGTAGCAGGTTTTACTTCATTTTTCGAAAATGAAAAAACAAAAAAAAGAAGAAAAAAGAAGAATACGAATGAACTTGTGAAAAAAAAGGAGAAAAGAAATGGGTGGGAGGGA